CTCTCTCTCTCTCGTCATTGTCGTTTCTTCCTGCAGTTTCAGCGGCTATGGCCACTACTCTCTAACTCGGCGCAGCGGACTTCTCCTCTGTGGCCCTTTTCCCCCGACATGGATGTCGAGCTCACGGCCTTCCTCCTCGACCGCGCGGCAGCTCCTCTTCAACACTGCTTCGATTCTCTTCTGCAGTGCGGAGCAGCGGCGCAAGTAGCTTCGGGAGGCGCCGAACAATTGACACGCGTGGACACGTTGGCAAGCAGCAGGGCGTTCGCGATCACGGGCAGCGCACGGCAAATGCAAAGCGCGCGCGATAACGGGCAGCGGGTGCAGCTGGTCAGCGCGGGAACTGGCCCGCGATGCAACGGGCGGGTGTGCTGCAGGCAACCGGCAGCAGCGCACGAAGGAGCAGCAGCAGTGCGTAGTAGCGGGTGGCTCGCGACGATGGCAAGGCGCGCGCGATCGCGTGGGCGCTTAGTGGCGAGAGGGGGCGAGAGGGGGCGGAGGGAACGGAGTCGCGCGGCAATCTGACGTGGAGTGCAGGCGCGCAAGACTTAGCACGCGGTCTGGAAGTGGTTAGCGCGGGAAAAACTAGCACGTGGCGGGCAGCGCGCGCAATAGCGATAGCAGCGCTAACGTGCTAACCTCCTCTCGTCAGCGTGCAGGTGACGACGTGGCGTCCCCTCTTTAGTGTGCAGTAACAGCGGGGCCCGCAGACAACAGGATGCCCCCACTCTCTCTCTCTCTCAACGGGCGCTGCTGACGTGGCGCCTCAACAACACTCTCTTCTCCTCTTCGAGCTGACGTGACGCCTCCTCTCTCTCTCTTGGCGCTGATGATGACGACGATGACGTGGCAGCGGCGATCGCAGCTCCAATGGGCAGGACATCGGGAACCAGCTCTGATACCAATGCAATCAGACTTGTCTTTCTTGACACTCAGCATGCGTACAAACAGATGACGATCAAGCTGGCGACTTGCGCCCACACAAAGCTCAGAGTTAACATAGCCAAGAACGCAGTTCAGATTCAAATTTGTCTTGTATGGCTATTGCCGTACACCACACTCCCAGCAACCGGTTTGTACACACACCCTGGATCTCCCTGGATGTCCCCCCCCCCCCCCACACACACACTTCACACGTACACACACACATACACACACACACCTACTAACATAGCCGTCTCTCCCCTATACTAACTATCTATTGGCTATGGCCGATCTTCCTCCTCTTAGCTCTCTTCGTCTACGGGTACCTGCAGACCTTACAGGCAGAATGAATGAATGACTGATCACTGCCTCTTTATTTATACTTTGGATTGTCGCTGGTCTGCCTCTCTCCACCGGGCCCTAAGTGCTGACTTGACAAGGTGCGACTGGGACTGGGTACCGTCGACTGAGCAAGGTAAGACTGCCCAGTTGACCACTTGCCTATGAACTGTCTACTAGGACTCACGAAGGGTCAGTTCCAAACCTTCTGGAAGACTGTGGACTTGACCCCTTCAGTACTGTAGCAGCTATGACTCGACCTTACAGCACTGTAGCAGCTATGACTCCTACCATTGCTAAGACCTCTAACCTACAGACCTACGGTTCAAGACCCGACGACCACCCTACCTACAGCAACAAACAGGCGACTTTAAAGACACAGGTCGCGGGTTCGATCACACACGGGTCGACTGGTACTGTACACTGGTAAGGGTGAGGTCCGGGGATCGAGCTCTGGGAACTGCAACTACTACCACAAAGGTGAAACTGTTTCAGCTGTCAAGAATGGCCAGTTTTTAGTTAAATTAGTTTTGTTTCATCAACTTTCATGTCCTTCATTTTTGCCAGCCCTGAAGCTTATCATTGATTCTCTGTTATGACATGCAGACATTTGTGGCAATGCTGGTCCATGCGTTGAGGTGCTGTGTGCATTTCCTGAGGGGATCTTCGTGCCTTGTTGATGCGGCGGGACGTAGACAAGATATCCTACGGGTGGATGCAATGATCGATGCACTTGTGAGTTTGCTTCCAGAAGCAAGTGGTGCGAAGACATTTGTGTCACAGGTATGCAAAATTCTCCAAACCTCTTTGCGCAACGTAGAGTGAGTTTCTTCAGTTTCAATTCCAGCAATTTTCCCTCATGATACGCACAAAGGAATATTTTTGATGCCGTTGTGCGTGACCTGGAGTTAGTTTCTTGGATTTCAATTTCGGCAGAATGCTGCCCCAGCCTTCCACCACAATTTGTTAGATTGATTGCCTGGGCTACCAGCCGGGCCGCCCTGTTCACCTTGGTTGCCCGGAGAGCCCGGCCAGGCAAGGGCCAGGGAAGGTCCCAGCAAAGAAAAAAACAAAGAAAAACGAAAGAAAAACTATATTACTATGCAGGAAAATAAACTGAACAACTTTTGCCCCAGGGTCACATGAAAATTCTTTACCAAATTTGAAAATTAAGTGGTCCTGGTTCACTCTGGTAGCCTAGAAGCTGGCCCGCCCTGGTCACCTTGGTTGCCCGGATAGCCCGGCCAGGCAGGGCCAGGGAAGATCCCAGCAAAAAAAAAAAAAAAAACGGAAGAAAAACTATATCTAGGCTGTTTTTTCCGGGCGCCCGGGCACCCAACTTCTGCCCAGCTACACACCCGGGTGCTTGGCCGGGCATGACCCCCGGGCAGGGTTCCAGGCAGCCCCAGCGCGGACCAAAACAAAACAAAAAAA